CTCTTCTGATACTGGTGATATGTTTTGTCACTAGTGTGTATTTTCTCAAAGCTCAGATTCCAGGATTTTTTTGATTATAGAGGAAGGGAGGAATTCCTGTTTAAATAGTTACTACTTTATGGCTTAATATTTCCTTTTTTAAAAAACACTTAGATGGAATCTTGACATATAATCAGTTTAGTCTATAGCCCTATTTTTCTCTTACAGAATTTGTTTAATGGGTAAATTTTATGTCATCCCTTAAACACATACAATGTTGCTACCTTGTTACTGTGATACATTTTGAGGAAAGAGGGTTGTAAGGGTTGTTCCAGTTGTTCAGGGTACTTTTAGTTGTTTTTTCATATGTTTGCTAGGCTCTTACTTCATATTTAAGAAGTTGTTTTTTTTCCCGTTTTTCTTGTTTTTAGTAAGAGACAAAGTTCAGTAATCTCTCAGTAACTGGCCTCAAATCACAGTTAAAACTAGGCAGTTGTGACAGAGAATGGATTTAATCTTAAAATCCTACTTTAAAAAAATTATATCTACATAGAGACTTCCCTGGCTGTTCAGTGGTTAGGTCTCTGTGCTTCCACTGCAGGGCATGGGTTCAGTCCCTGGTCTGAGAACTAGATGCCTGCACGCATGTGGCCACAAAAATATATACATGTTTATTTCTACATAGAGGAGCACCTTAGCTGCTTCGCTGCCCCGTTTCTTCTTCATCTAAACTCTGAAATGCCTGATTGAGGTTCTATGAGGCCTTGGCTCCTGTGTATGGAGCAGAAGGCAGAGACTGTCCTGCCCTGTCCCTTGAGAATCTTCTGCTTTGCAGCAGACTGGCTGAACCACAGTGGACCCAGCAGAGATGAGAGAGCTGGAGTGAGGAGGCCTGCCTTGGTATGACCTCTGGGAGCTGTGCCGAGAGCCAGAGGGGTGCTTCCTGAGACTGCCCTCACCCCCAGTCGGAGGCCCTCTCACTGGGTGCAGGCTGCCATGTCCACTGGTGTGGACACTCTGCAGCAGTGTCCCTACTTTTCTCATTGCAGCGCTCCCAGTGTTCAGTTACCGCATTCCAAATGACAGGCAGCTTCTAATGTGCTGGTGTTTTCACAGCTTTCATTGTAGTTGTGTTTTTACAGCTGTAACGCTGATGTTGTCTTAAAGTGTGGTTCATGTGCAGACTGGCTAGTTGATGGTAGAGTTTTTTCACAGTTTTTATAACATGAGATTGTAGTGTTTACAGAAGCAAATTGCTAATTTTTGTAACTGTTGGTTTTTATAAATTGAGTAAGTGTTCTTTGGTTGTGTTGCTGCATATTCCAGTTGAGTACCTTAGATAAAATGAATTTTTCCTCCTGTACCTGAAGTTATGGGCTTTAGTTCCAACTTCATTCTTCTGGAACATGGAACTGGTTTGTTTTTTCATGCAGAATGTTTAGTACGTATGCTCCACATCAATAATACATCCAGGAAAATTGTTACCTGTACCCCAGACTTTCTCACCATAGAAATGATTTGTAAGAAGCAATGATTTTCTATTATGTATTTGAAACAGCACATGTACGAAGCAGCCTGAGTTTTCCTCTCACTGTGCTTGGCTGAATAATTTGGGAAGGTGGACTTAAGGTTAGGCAAGTATTTTTGCTCTTCAGGGAGAAGCTGTAGAGGGTTGGTTGGAATTCTGTTCAGTCAGCAAAGGGTAGTTGTTCACTTCTGCATCTAAAGAGAGTAGATCATGTCATCTGTTGATGCCAAGTTTTTCATCACTGTTTGAGGATAAAACCATAGTATCTTACAATGTAGCCTTTCATTGTAGGATGTCTTTACCTCCAGCCATAACAAGAGCCTCAGATCTTATATATGCTCCCCACCCCTGCCCAGTTCTGAGTAACCAGCTTCTTCCCTCCTGCTTTCTGATCTACTAGTCTTCCTTCTTCCCTGTTCTCTTACATATTTATGGTTGTCAGTTTATATCTTTCCATAAACTAAGACCACACCCCTCCCCTCCCCTCCCCCCCGGGTGTTAGGCTCAGTAAATTTCTTTGCCACTGAATTAAAATCTTAGAACTCCTTTGATAATATAACTACCATTAATGGGCTTCATTTTGTTTAACAGTAGGTGAAGAGAAGATAGAAAAAGTTTATAGCGTACTGAACATGTATAATTTTTACTAAAATTCTGAACATACCAAAAAAAGCATTATGAAGTGAATGGGCAGAAACTTTCCAAAGATGAGCTATGTGAATGCTCAACTGAGTGTGTGAATGCATGGCTGTGTAGTGTCTCAGTGTGTGCGCACCTCACTCTTCCTCCCCCGCTTGCTCACGGGCATTTAAGTGTCCAGCTCCCACAGGTATTTTTTAAAAGTTGTGTTAAGGATCGTCATCTTCTACCTGCTTGTTTAGTTCCTTTTCTCGGGAGTGGCTTTTTGGAGTCAGGTGGCATGAATGACTTGAGGTACGTGGGTTGCTGTTTTGCCAGTCAGAGAACCAGTAAGGTTTTGAGAGAGTCCAATTTCATCAGCCCTTGACATCTCTGCCAAACTGATGGACTAAACTTATGTCAAAGAGGAGTCTTATCTTTTTTTTTTTTGGCTGTGCTTGATCTTCATTGCTGCACTGGCTTTTCTCTAGTTGGGGCGAGTGGAAGCTACTCCAGTTGTGGTGCCCAGGTTTCTCATTGCAGTGGCTTCTCTTGTGTCAAATGAGGATTTTTAAGTTACAGGTGGATTTGATCATCATGTGGTGTGTATACTTCCCGTGATGTTTCTTTGCCTGTTCCTGTCCTTTGCCCTTCCATTGTGATGCTGTCACACTAGTGTCTCTATATTAAGGTGATTAGCCTTCTGTTGTATATCCAACATATGTTGTTTTTCCAATTATTTTTTGAGTGTGTGTAAGTTTATGGTATTTTTTTGGTTTCTTTTTCTGTTACCTTGTTTCATCGTGAAATGTTTTCATTTTTATCCTGTCATATCTGTCAGGCTTTTACTTGACTCTGCCTTTGGTGCTTACAGAAGTCTAAGCCTTTGGTGCTTAGCAGAGTTATAAAAGTGTGTATCTTGTGTTTTATTCTGGTACCTATGTGATTTCATTATTTTATTTTATATTTGAATCTTTTATTCAGCTAAGCTGTTTTGAAGTAAGCATTTTCTCCCAATTTTTGTGTCAAAATTTTCAGAGTTGGGACTTACTGGCAATTCGGTGATTAAGGCTTGTTACCCTTCCAGTGCAGGGGGTGAGGAAGGGGTCAGTCCTTGGTCAGGGAGCTAAGATGCCACATGCCTCGAAATCATGAAACCAAATCATAAAACAGAAGCAAGACTGTAACAAATTCAGTGAAGATTTTAAAAGTGGTCCTCATCAAAAAAAAAAACCTGAGAAAATACTTGTGTTAAAATCAGGCATTATCAGCAAGCCTTTGTGGGTTTATTCATAGTATAAATGGAGAATCATAGCAGGATTGGATATTTTTCAGTGAGTTAAACACTTACTGGGTGCAAATACTTCTCAGGGAACTTGAATTTCAGCACGCTTCATGAGGAGGTACACACGGTCATCAGCATAATGCACATAACCAGAGATGGAGAGGGCTGCAGGCACAGATTTCAGAGGAGTGGTGTATACTCAGTGTCCTGGGGGAATGATAGGGAAAGCTTGAGGACTCCGTTGGTTACTTTGTTTTTGTTTATACTGTGTGTGTGTGTGTGTGTGTGTGTATGTGTGTGTGTGGTTACTTTTGTTTTTGTTTTTGTTTATACTGTGTGTGTGTGTGCGCGCGCGCGCTCAGTAACTTCAGTCCTGTCCAATTCTTTGTGACCCTATGGACTGTAGCCCACCAGGCTCCTCTGTCCGTGAGATTCTCCGAGCATGCATACTAGTGTGGGTTGCCATGCCCTCCTCCAGGGGATCTGTCTGACCTACGGTTTGAACCTGCATCTCCTGCATTGCAGGCAGATTCTTTACCCACTGAGCCACCTGGGAAGCCCTGTTTATATCTTGTTATTGTTGTTCAGTTGCTGAGTTCTGTCTCACCCTTTGCTACCCCATGGACTGCAGCACACTAGGATTTCCTGTCCTTCACCATCTCCCAGAGTTTGCTCAAACTCATGTCCATCCAGTCAGTGATGCCATCCAAGCATCTCATCCTCTGCCACCCTCTTTTCCTCCTGCCTTCAGTCTTTCCTAGCATGACAGTGTTTTCTAGTGAGTCAACTCCTCACATCAGGTAGCAAAAGTATTGGAGCTTCAGTATCAGTCCTTTCAATGAATATTAAGGGTTGATTTCCTTTAGGATTGACTGGTTTGATCTCCTTGGTTTCCAAGGGACTCTTTAAGAGTCTTCTCCAGTACCACAGTGTAAAAGCATCAGTTCTTCGGTGCTCAGCCTTCTTTATGGTCCAACTCACATACACACATGACTACTGGAAAAACCATAGCTTTGACAATATGGACCTTTGTCCCCAAGGTGACATCTCTGCTTTTTAATAATGCTATCTAGGTTTTCTATAGCTTTTCTTCCAAGGAGCAAACGTGTTTAAATTTCAAGCCTGCAGCCACCATCTACAGTGTTTTTGGAGCCCAAGAAAGTAAAATCTGATACTGTTTCCATTTTTCCCCATCTATTTGCCATGAAGTGATGGGACTGGATGCCATGATCTTAGTTTTTTGAATGTTGAGTTTTAAGCCAACTTTTTCACTCTCCTCTTGTTCCTCTCCTCATCAAGAGGCTCTTTAGTTCTTCACTTTGTGTCGTTAGGGTGGTGTCATCTGCATATCTGAGGTTGTTCTTATTTCTCCCAGCAATCTTGATTGCAGCTTGTGATTCATCCACAAGTTGGATGGATATGGTTATACCTTACTAGGCAGCAGTTGAAGATCGAAGTGGTAACAGAATAGCTTCTAATACCAAATGTAGGAGGTGGAAATAGAGACGAGACTCAGGGAGGCAGTTAGGGGTGCCTTACAGGGAATGTTGCCCAGAAGGGCTCAGCAGGGCAGTACTGGGAGCAGCAGCACTGGCAGCCTTTTCTGTTAGCACAGGCCTTGGCTGCCTGTCCTCTCCACATGCTAGCGTCTTGCTCCTTGCTGACCTTCAGCTTCAATGTTATTCCCTCCGAGAGGCCTTCTCTGATCACTCTTGGTGGTCAGAAGGTATGGTATTAAGTGTGGAGCAGCCCTTGAATAAAGTTAGTCACAAAAAGAAGAGAAAAGATGATGACTTGGAAATGAGTAGCACATGCATATGCCAGTTAGTAGGCAGAGGACAGACTGGAGGTAAATAGGGTGGTACCTGGGGCAGGGGGTGGTAATTGATGAGGAAAGGTCATGCAGGAAGGGAGGGATAAGAATAAGCTCCTCTGAAAGTGTGTTGCTCATAAGGAGGAGGATGGACTTGTCTTTGAGACCAGGAAGGAAGACTAAATAAATGAGATACTGAAAACATGTAGGAGTGGAGGGGATGTGAAGTGACTGATCTCTGGAAATCAGCCCAGATGAATGATGTCTCAGAACAGTTTGGGGCATTCTTGTTAGTTGATTCCACAGAATCTAAGGCAGCCAGAGGTAGATGAGAGGATTGCTGAAGAAATGAAAGGATTCTTTGAAGTAAGATGAATTTGTAGAGGATGACGTCATCATAGAGTAGTAGGGGGATGTGGCCACCCAAAGGGGACCTAGCACAGGATCATGGTTTGTCCTGGCACATGACCAGCCTTACTGAGACACAGGTGACAGCCAACAACACTGTGCAAGTTGAAGGGGTGCAGCAGGCTGATAGCTTCATGGAATGATGACCATGGTATGTGCAGTGAGCATCCATCACCTCATAGAGATAAAAAATCAAAGGAATAGAAAAAATTTTTTAATTAAGATGAAAACGCTTACAATTTATTAGTCTTATCAACTTTAATTATATTTGTTATGTTGTCCACGACACCCCCTACTACTCATTTATCTTATAAAGGGAAGCTTAACACCTTCTGATTTTCTTCATCCAATCTCCCACCACCTTTATAACCACAAGTCTGACCTCTTTTTCTATAAATTTGTTTGTTTTTGGAGTATAATTGACCTACAACACTTAGTCCCTGTTTAACGACAGGGAGTGATCTGTATTTCTCTACATTTCAAAGTCACCAGGATAAGTCTAGCTACATTATGTCACTACACAAAGGTATTACATAGTTACTGTGTTTCCCACACCATATGTTTCACACCCATGACCCATTTTGCAACTGGAAGTTTGTACCTCTTGGTTTCTCTCTTCTGTTTCTCTCCTCCTCTGGCCCGTTTCTTCTCTGTATCTGTAACTCCATCTCTATCTTGTTAGGTTTGTTCATCTGTTTTTTTAGATTCCACGTATTATTTTAGTTAACATAATGCCCTCCAGGTCCATTCATGTTGTTGCAAATGGCACAACATTGTTCTTTTTCATGGCTGAATAGTATTCGTGTGTGTGTGTGTGTGTGTGTGTGTGTGTGTGTGTATCAAATCTTCTTTATCAATTAATCTATTGATGGACACTTGCATTGCCTCTGTTTCTTAGATATTGTAAATAATGTTGCAGTGAACATACGAGTGCAAATGTCTTCTCTCTCTTCTTAATTTTTTTTGGCCTTGTGGCATGTAGGATCTTAGTTACCCGGCCAGGGATTGAACTTGAGCCTCCTGGTGTGGAAGGTGAGCCCTAACCATTGGACCACCAGGGCATTCCCATAAACGTCTTTTCTGTTTAGTGCTTTTGTTTTCTTTGGATAAATAGGAGTGGAATTTGCTGGATCATATGGTAGTTCTATTTTTAATTTTTTGAGATGGGTTTAGGCTATTTTCCATAGTGGCTGCACCAGTTTACATTCCCACTAGCAGAGCATGAGTATTTCCCTTTTCTCCACATTCAGCACTTGTCCCTCATCAATGCTCGTCATTTGCCCTTGTTTTTTTAATAATTGCTATTCTAACAAGTGGGAGGTGATATCTCATTGTGGTTTTGATTGGCATTTCCCTGAATGTTAGTAATGTTGAGCATGTTTTTGTGTGCCTGTTAGCCATCTGTGTGTCTTCTTTGGAAAGATGTCTATTCAGATCCTTTGCCCAGTTTTCAATCAAGTTATTGATTTATGTATTTGTTGATACTGAGTTTTGTTAAGTTCTTGGTATATTTTGGATATTAACCCCTTATGGGTCATGTCATTTGCAAATATCTTCTCCCATTTTGTCAGCCTTTTCGTTTTGATAATTGTTAACTTCACTGTGTAAAAGCTTTTTAGTTGGATGTAGTTCCATTTGTTTATTTTTGTTTTTCTTTCCCTTGCCTGAGGAGGCAGATCCGTGTACTGCCTGTGTTTTCTTCTAGGAGTTTTATGCGTTCAGATCTTACGTTTAAATCTTACATCCATTTTTAGTTTATTTTTTGTGTGTGGTGTGAAAGAGTAGTCCGGTGGAATTCTTGTACATGTAGCTGTCCTGTTTTCCCAGCACCATTTATTGAGGAGGCTATATATTCTTGCCTCCTTTGTCAAGGATGAATTACCCGTCTTAAGTCTGGATTCATCTTCCGGGACTTCCTGTTCTGTTCTAGTGATTTATGTGTCTATTTTGGTGCAAATACCATGCTGTTTTGATGGCTGTAACCATGTAGTGTAGTTTGAGATCTGGACACATGTTGCCTCCAGCTTTATTCTTCATTTTCAGGATGTTTTCTGGGTTTGTTTGTTTGTTTTTCTATTCAGTCTTTTGTTTTTCCATACACATTTTAGAGTTACTTGTTCTGTGGAAAATGCCACTGGTATTTTGAGAGGGATTGTACTGAATATGTAGATTGCTTTGGGTGGTGTGGTTAATTCTTCCAGCCCATGAACTTGATGTGGCTTTCCATCTTTGCCTCTTGTCTTCAGTTTCTTGCATCTATGTCTTTCTATTTTCTAAATATAGGTCTTTTATCTCCCTAGTTAGATTGTCTCCCAGGAATTTTATTTTCTGATGTAATTTATAAATGGGATTGTTTTCTTAATTTCTCTTTCTGATAGTTTGTTGTTAGTGTATAGAAATGCAACAGATTTCTGTATATTAGTTTTTTATTCTGCAACTTTGCTGAACTTATCAATGAGCTCTAGTAGTTTATTGGTAGTGTCTTTAGGATTTTCCTCGTGGTATCATGTCATCCTCACACATCAACAGTTGTCCTTCTTCCTTTCCAGTTTGGATTTCTTTTTCTTGTCTGATTACTGGAGCTAGGACTTCCAATAGTACTTTGAGTGAAAGGGTGACAGTGGGGATCCTTGTCTTAGAGAAAGTGCTCTCAGCTTTACACCACTTGGTGTGATGTTAGCTGTGAGCTCATATATGACCTTTTTCATGTGAACTATGTTTCCTCTATATGCACTTAGTTTTTTTTTTCAGTCATACATGGATGTCAGATTTTATTAAAAAGCTCCGTGGCCAGGGGTCCTGGTGTCTGCCTGCTGGTGGTGGGTAGAGCTGGGTGGATGGCTCTGTGGCCAGGGGTCCTGGTGTTGGCCTGCTGGTGGATGGATTCAGGGTCCTCTGTGTCCAGGACTAGTGCCCAGGGTAGGCAGGCTGGTCCTGGGGTCTCTGGCCACAGGGCCCTGGGAGTACAGGGGCTGGTGCTGGCCTTCTGAGGCGGCTAGGTCCTGACTCAGCTGGCTCAGGGCGGTGGGGTCCTGGGGCTGGAGAAAATCATTTAAATACCCAAGCCTGACATCTCGTCAAACTTGGTAAGAAGGCTGTTGAAACTAGGAGGGAGTTGATGGACTTAGGAGAACAGGAGGGCATGGAGGAGTCAGAAAGAAGATGGACAGGTAAGAATTTTAGTAGATGATGGTGTCAGAAGTAGAAGACAAGGAGTGTTCCCCAAGGAGATCTTGCAGATCTCTGATGAGAGCAAGTGTACACAGTGTGGGGAGACGGTGCAGGCCAGGGAGTAGGCGGTCCCTTTGTGAGCAGACAGTGCACACAGGCCTTGATCTTCCGGAAAGTGAGGGAAAGAAATGGACAGGAAAACTTAATCAGCACCAGAGCCAGCCAGGAAAAAAAGCCAAAAGACGTTCATACCTGGACCAGAAGTTACACATTTTGGATAGAGAATCTGAGAGCAGTTTATATTGATAAAGTATCATGAAGTTATTAGGTCCCGCATACTTGTCCAGTGTTAGTGCAGAGGTGCAGTGAATTTGCCTCTTAGAGCTCCCACAGGACACTTGTGGTCCTTGGTACTGATGGATTCTGAAGCTTGTAAGGAACGGAGTTGGGTCTGCAGTGGTTCGGTGGCTCTGCAGGATGCTCAGTGGTGTTCAGAGTACAGCAATCATCCCACCTTTATTCAGACCACTGGCAGTTACTAGTTCCCCTTTAAGCTCGTGATTATTACATGTAGAAGATGTTCTGAATTAAGTAAAAACTTTATTAGCCCTTGATTTCAATGTGCTTCGTAACCAGATCTTTTGCCAGTAAAGCAGGAAAGATAACCAGTATGGAAATGTGTTTCTTAGTAATTGGTTTTATTTATCTATTATGTCTGTTATTCATAATTAATATGAGACCGGAAAAATGTGATTTTCCTCTCCGAAGAACTGAAGGTACATCCATCAACTCATACCATCCCCTTTCTTATTTGTAGACCATTCGAAGGAAGAAGAAAGTTCAGATCCCAGTAAGTCGTCCTGATCCTGAACCTGTGTCTGAGAATGAAGAGGACAGTTATGACGAGGAGGCGCACGACCCGAGAAGTGGCCGTGGGGCCCTGGCAAACAGGAGGAACGAGAAGAGCTGGGGCCGAGATAGGAGTGCCAGTCGAGAGAGGAGTCTGTCCCCCCGGTCAGACAGGCGGTCTGTGGCCTCCAGTCAGCCTGCCAGACCCACCAAAGTCACCCTGGTGAAGTCCCGGAAGAATGAAGGTATTTCTGCCAACTTAGTATTTTCACATGAGAATTTTAAAACTGATTTTAATGAGAAGTAAATTTGCTGTCTCTTGACATCTTTGCTCTGTTGTCTTTTGTTACCTTTGTTCTTGTGTCCTTTTGCTTAAAAGTACATCCTGTTACTGCAGGCCTCGGGTCGTCTGTTTCCTCTACTTTTTTGTTGTAGTGGATAACGTGTCCATTAGGAGTGTTAGGTTAGCTCTGTGAGTAGGAGGTGTCCTATGTCCCTGCATTGGTTGCAGCGCAGTGTTGTCTTTGTGGTCAGGCTCGGGTTGGGCTGCATCCGCATCCAGGAAGAGAGCACTGGGTGGGGAGGGAGGGCAGCTTGCTGCCCCAGATGGAAAGCTGGGATGCTGCTCTAAAGAAAGGACACAGTTGTCAGAACTCTGTGGCTGCAGCCTAGCTGCCTGCCCTCAGGTAGTCACAGTCCATACCGGATGAGTCCAGTGGTGGCCTCGCAGCACTGCTGTGGGTGTGTCTCTCCCACACAGGAAAGCACCAGTGATGACGGCTTTGATGAAAAGGTGCAATAGTCTCTCCAGCTTGGCTTTCATTTGCTTTCCCGAAACCTGACGAATCCCCTACTCACGGCTCCCGCCCCCTTGTCCACGGGCCTCCTTAGTCAGACGGTCTGTGTTCAGAACTGCTGCTTCTCGTTCACCACCCACGCTTAAGCCCCCTCTCTGTACCTGCTCCCAGAACTAGTCACCACCCCCACACTTCAGTATCTGGTGGGTGCTCTGGTATCTGCTCCTGGAACTGGTCACACTGAATCTGATAGGAATTTCCAGTTTGTATCTTGTCTTTTCAGCACCATTTCACAGTTCACCACTCCATTTTCTCATGTTTTCTCTTGGCTTCTGCAATGCTGCGGGTGTCAGGGCTTCCCCCACCTTCTGTATCCTTGGCAAGCTCATTATACTCATCCTGCCTTCCAGTGTTCTGTGAATTCTTTCCTGGGGTCTCCCTGGGGTGTTGAGTAGCTCTCATGATGGTGCAGCTTCTTCCCCATGCCTGTGTGCACCCCAGGGGCACGGCTGGCACAGACCTGTTCACTGAAGCGTCCTCTGTGGCCCTCAGACTCTGCACATCTCCAGCGAAACTCCCATGTTCCTCTTGGAATTTTTCATGTTTCTTACATAGTAGCCCATTGATTGTCCTTCTGCACCTGGTGTCTCAGGCCAGCCATGCTCACTCATTGTGGTGTGATTACCTATGCCACCATCTCCCCTCTGCTTTCCTGTGTCTGCTGAGCGCACATCCACCCTCCTGTCCTCCTCCCTTCTCCACCCCCACCCCTCATCCAAGCCACCAGCACCTTCTCTTCTCCCATCGTTGCTGATGTGTGATCACCAGTATGTATTAGTATGTAAAGTTGTGTATATCTGAGGTGTGCAGTGTGATGCTTGAGATGCGTACACACTAGAAAATGATCACTACTGTCAAGTTAACCTGCATGGGTGGGGTGATGGGGCTTGGTGAGGAGCACCACACCACCCTTTCTTAACTGGACTCGCTCACCCTTGTGAGCTCGTCTCGGGGGCTCCTGTTGGTTCTGTTCCTTGGGTTACAGGGACTCTGGGGCGCTGCTGTGTCTGACTCTTCTACACTTCTAGGCTTCATCAAACCTGCCTTGTCTTCCTTCATGCCTTTTGCCGTGTCTGTTTTTAGCCATTCTGTCTGTGCCACTGCCCCACCATACAACCTCACTTTTCAGCTTTAGTGGCAGTGTTTCTTAGATGAAGCTTCAACTTTAGTGTCTGCTTCTCGGGGCTGAGGGAGAGGTGCCCTCTGTGCCCACCTCCCCCTCCCCGGCACAGAGTGCTGTGCTGCCTGCTCTGTGCTTCACTGAAGCTGGACTGGTGACATCCTTGCCCTGCTGCCAGAGCGCGGGGCTGCCTCTTGCTTGCTGCTTGTATCTGTAGAGCCTGCCACCTTGTTCATATTTACCAGAGAAATATTTGGGATAAATGATGCTTTCATATACAGGGAGTATTTCAGAGTCATCTTTGTATTGGCCATTTATAATTTTTAAATCCTAAATAAGAACAGTCTTTTAATCAACACTTTATTTCTGAGAGATATGATGACTGTTTCTGAAGCACAGAGTGGACTGCGTAGATTCTGTAAAGTCTTTTCTTTTTGTGTCCCAGTTCTCTGTTTGTCAACACTCTTTGTATATTTACCTTAAGTTAAACTGTAACTTTGATGTAACTTCTAAAAGCTTGAGTAGCAGGTCTTAGCCCACCTTAAAAATAACACTTATTTCCCTTCTATTTTTCTTGCCCCCAGTTAGATTCCTAACACAACCAGGAGCAATCCTGTTCCTATAGACATTATACTGATTGTATATTGTTCTAATTAAAAAAAAAACAGTCCATCACTTTGCAGGCCCCTGGATGGGTTTTTGGACTCTGCCGGTAATGTCCTTAGTTCTGACTGCTCCCCTGCCCACAGGTCCTGGTCCTGCTGCTGCATCCTGGGTGCTCTGCTGGCTGTTGGAAGGACTGGCATCCTTAACTGCTCCCCTCTCCACTCAGCTCCTTCCAGGCCCTAGTTCTAGTGGCTCGTGCTGATGTTCTGCGTATGCCTCTCAGAGTTGGACGGGTTTAGGACCCAAAATCCTCTTCTGTAAGAACTGGGGGAAACAAAAATAGTATACACCTGGTAATACAAGTCATCACTAAGATCATTGAGCTTCCCAGGGTATTTGTTTTCAGAGTTGTTGTCATTAAACCTAAGAACCAGGTGCGTCAGCCTGACAGGTCAGAGGGGATGGTCTTCTCTTCATGGTCCTCTCTCTGCACAGCGAGGGCGTGAGGGTCAGTCAGCTGTTGGACCACGGACTTGCCCTGTGCTTTCACACTGATGGTGACAACTAATGATGACACGAGGAAATGTCTTCTTTGCAGGAAGGCCAAGGATAACTTACTGCTTGTACTTAAAAACTTGCTTTGTGCGGTGATTATTCGTTTCATACTTTTAAACTATTTAAGTGTCTTGGGATTTTACACTAAATACATTTAAATATATTATTTCAGAATATGGTCTTCGATTGGCCAGCCATATATTTGTGAAGGAAATTTCACAAGATAGTTTGGCAGCAAGAGATGGCAATATTCAAGAAGGCGATGTTGTATTGAAGGTATAGTCATGTTCTTAACATTTTGATGAACTACAATAGAAAACAAGTTCTAGTGTGCCCACATAGCTCCTTTTCATATTTGAGTGGATTTTTCCAAGAAGAATTAGAAGTCAGTATCTGGGGGACTGTATAACCTGCCATGACTATTACTCCATGTCAACACTGATGCTTTTCTTTGGGCATTGTATCATCCTGGAGAATTAATAGCTCCAGACACATATTATTCACTCACAGGAGTTACTTTGTAGACAGATTTGTCTGTTGTTCTGACTTTAAGTGGTTTTGATGACTCCTCCAGATGTTACTGAAATGTCAGCTTTATTGGTTTGCTCTTAAGTCACAGAAAGTGACTAGGAAGAGGTAGAGGGTGTGATGTGGGCTCCTCTGGCAGAGCAGCTGTGTAGTGAGTGTAGTGAATGTTTATCATTTTGGGAAGGAGGAGTACTTTGATAGTTTAGGAAAGTGTAAAGGGAATATTTTAGCTCTCAGAGCAAGCCTGGGAGCAGCTGAGATATTGCTGTCTGTGTCTCACTAAGTTAATGCTTGTATTTTTGTCATTTAGCTTCAAACTACAGTTTCTTTTCTGTTGCAGATAAATGGTACCGTGACGGAAAACATGTCACTGACAGATGCAAAGACGCTGATCGAGAGGTCTAAGGGCAAGTTAAAGATGGTGGTCCAGAGAGATGAGCGGGCTACCCTGCTGAATGTCCCTGACCTTTCTGACAGCATCCACTCTGCTGACGCCTCTGAGAGGGACGGTGAGTGTGGTTCTGTTTCTAGAGACTCTCAAGGTTATCTGTTGCTTAAAGTGGGAAGGTTGGACATGTTTGAGTTTAAGTTAATGCTTAAATCCACCATTGTATGGGAAATTATATTTAGTAACTTATTTCCTTTATCATTATCATTGGAGTGCCTTATATTTTACTATAATCTTGGGAAAATAAACAGCACTCTCTTGTTTAACAGATATTTCAGAAATCCAGTCATTGGCATCAGACCATTCAGGTCGATCCCACGACCGGCCTCCCCGTCACAGCCGCTCTCGGTCTCCTGACCAGCGGTCCGAGCCTTCTGACCATTCTCGGCACTCGCCACAGCAGCCCAGCAGTGGCAGGTAATCCCTCTGTTGCGTAAAGTGAGACAGTGGCGTGTGCTTGGTGCACGCTTCTGGGTTTGCTAAGAAATAAAACTAGAAGATAGATTTTCTTTTGATTACTTAAATTTGCTTTGTTTCTTTATCAGTTTATGTATTTTTTAGCTAGAATAACAGAGGTCAGTCAAACTGTTTCATAAAAGGCCAAATAGTAAATGTTTTAGATATGTGATCCAAATCTTGCCACCACTCAGCTCTGTCTTAGTGGCTCAAAACTGCTGTGGACAGTACGTAAATGAATGGGCATGCCTGTTTTCCAGTAAAACTTTATTAAAAAAAAAAAACAGTTGGCTCTTGGATACAGTTTGCTGATCCATTGCATTAGAAGATGTTAGCTAACAAGCTTTAGAACAAATTAAATGTGTGTGGTAGAAGTCTTTTAGTGGAGATTACCCTGGGCTTTGTTTTTCCCTGTAAAGTACAGTGTGGTATTTATTTACGTCAAAGGGTCTGCCATGCTAGTATTATGTGACTTACCTGAGTTTATGGTCTGAGGGGGTCACATGCACATTTGAGAATCTGAGGGGAAAAAAAATGATCCTTCTCTCCAGAAAGATGCACATTCACAGATACACGTAGCATTTTATGTAAGATTTCTGGACGTGCACAGGGCTCTGTTGGCCAACAGTGGACCTAGGTTTTAGCAGCAGTCCGTGTGGAGCTCTTCTTTGTGCACTTAGTCAAGTCCAGAGCTGACCAGTTTAAGATTCACCGTGATTATTTGTGACTGACTTGCATGAGGGTGGTGTTCACCTAAGCCATGGAGTCACTAAAATTGCCAAGAGAAACAAAACAGATAGAATGCCCAGAAGTGGATACAGGGAGTGTTTCCCAAGGACGCTGAGGAAGCAAATGAGAAGTACCTTTCGGAAGAGAGCTTTCCTGAAGACTGTCAGAAATCACCCTGACACAGTTGTTGCACACTGCTGATTTTAGCTATTTGTAAAACTGATTCTCTCTGAATTTCAGATTTTAGATTTATAAATTGTATTAACCCTGGTCTTTGTAATTAACATTATAATGATTTTTTTAAGGAATATTATAGTATGTCACATGCAAAACTGACTAATAACTGATTACTAGTTTTAACTGCTATACATTAACATCTTAATTCTGAAAATCTTGCTGACACAGCACATCCCTTACCTGGAAAAGGACAGCTGCCCGCAGCACATACACAGCAATAGAACTGACACCCAGATGAGTCATGGGGTGTGGTGCAGTCCTAACACAGTTCTCTCCCCTAGAAGCCAGGCTGGCAGCAAGCCATTTGGACATGATTTTCCTTTAAAAAGAAAGAAATACTCATCAAAATTTTGGCCATTTGTATCTGTTGTAACCAAATTCTAAACTTTAGATAGGTCTTTTTAATACCTACATTTTTCATTTAGATTTCCTAAATATTCGGCATCTGTAACTTTAAATGTTGAAGAGGGTTTAAAACTTTTTTTTTAAGTATCTTCCTATTATATTGGAGTGTTTTACTTCTCTTGGGAGCCTCAAGTATTCTTTATTTTATAGGTGACACCAATTATATTAGATCTTTGAAAATATAGAATCTTGGGCCTGCTTCTGAGTTCATCTGGGATGGAGGCAGGGAATAATACTTTAAGTTTCTAATATAATAGCATTCTCTTCTGCATGTTACCACATAGTCGATCCTAAGGAGACGATAGTACTTCGGCTACAGAAGACAAAAAGTCTGCAGATTTATTTCCATATGTTTGTGCTGATATATAATTCCTGAAAATTTAAGTAGCCTGCCTAAAGGCAGGATGAAAAATAGTACCAGTTGCTTAAAGATTTTATTTTCTCCATAAAGTTACTATTAAAACCCAGACAACTGTGCAGTTTTAATTTAGAGGGTCCTTGCATTTTGAGAAACACTTTAGATCTTTAGATACCAGTTCAGTATCAGTTCAGTCACTCAGTCATGTCTGACTCTTTGTGACCCCATGGGCTGCAGCACTCCAGGCTTCCCTGTCAATCACCAACTCCCGGAGTTTGCTCAGACTCATGTCCATTGGTCGGTGATGCCATCCAACCATCTCATCCTATGTCGGCCCCTTCTCCTCCTGCCTTCAATCTTTCCTAGCATCTTTTTCAACGAGTCTGTTTTTGGAATCTGGTCGCCAAAGTATTGGGAGTTTCAGCTTCAGCATCAGTCCTTCTGATGAAGATTCATGACTTATTTCCTTTAGGATGGACTGGTTGGATCTCCTTGCAGTCCAAGGGACTCTCAAGAGTCTTCTCCAATACCACAGTTGAAAGGCATCATTTCTTCGGTGCTCAGCTTTCTTTATAGTCCAGCTCTCACATCCATACACGACTATTGGATAAACCATAGCTTTGACTAGACGAACCTTTGTTGGCAAAGTAATGTCTCTGCATTTTAATAGCTGTCTAGGTTGGTCATAAATTTCCTTCCAAGGAGCAAGCATCTTTTAATTTCATGGCTGCAGCCATCATCTGCAGTGATTTTGGAGCCCCCCAAAATAAGGTCTGTCACTGTTTCCATTGTTTCTCCATCTATTTGCCATGAAGTGATGGGACCGATGCCATGATCTTAGTTTTCTGAATGTTGAGTTTTAAGCCAACTTTTTCATTCTCCTCTTTGACTTTTCATCAAGAGGCTCTTTAGTTCCTCTTTGCTTTCTGACATAATGGTGGTGTCATCTGCATATATGAGATTATTGATGTCTCTCCTGGCCGTCTTGATTCCAGCATGTGTTTCATCCTAATTTAGATATAGTAGGAGAGTAAAATCTTAGTATAAAAAACACCATGGATCATTTTCCTTGTGTTGTTTGTTTGAACAGATGCTTTTGTTTTACAAATGTTATAATTCTGTGGTTTAAAAAGTGATACAAGAAGACAAGTGAAAAAAGTTTCAGATTAGTGTGTAAAACACTACTGCCCCTCCGTGGATTTCTGAATATCTGTGTGTGTGTATAAGACTGCAGTTATCTGCCGAGAATAGTAACCTTCATTTTGTCAGAAACGGAGTAACCTGTTGTCAGAAGCAACAGAATACAGTCATCTCTTTGGACTTTGAAGCCAGTTTTCCTGGGTTTGAGCCCCTGCCTGTCATTGGTTACTTGCACCACCTTGAATCCTTCTCTGAGCTTTAGTTTCCTCATTTGATACAAAGAAGGCATCAAACACCTCGAAGTTGTGAAAGGTGATTATAACACCTGGAGCAGACACTAGCAGCTTCCTTTATTACAGTGATTAGTAGTAGGAACAGTTCATGCTGTAGACTGTCCACATGTGCTCACATTGACCACTTCTAAGAAGACTTCCTCATTCCATAGGCTAGTCAGTTTAAGGATAAAGTCCAGGGTTATGTTATTGACAAGAGATTAAGGCCTCTTGGCTTTTTGACTCAAGTGTTTGCCCTTCCTGGAGTAGAGAAAGAAGGGGAAGGTTACCTAAGGGAACAGAAACCGTCAGAGCCTTCCCTTGTTGTGACCTACGTAGGTTCCTCTACGTAATGTTCTTTTCTTAGAGAGCTGAGTTTTGAGCACAACACACGTGCTCACTTCTTCCTTACAATCAGATGAACAGTGTACCCTTATTGTTGTCTTGAACAGCAGCTGCCAAACTGCAGCTTGTGGGCCCGATCCAGCCTGCTGCCTGGTTTTGCAAATAAAGTTTTATTGGAATCCATCCTACAGTGTCATAATTAAAAAAGTTGGCAGAGAGTGCCTGGCCCACGGAGCCATTTACAGAAAAAGTCTGCCAGTCCCTCCCTGGTCTAGGATGTTAAAATAGTTTTGTTTGTAAATTAAAAAATAATATGTGTGTAGAGAGAATTATTACAGTGATTTTTTTAAAATCATTTGATGCTTGTTGCTAGGTTTGTTCTGTATATTTTATTCAGTGTCGTTCCACTGCCTGCTCTGGACTGAGACTCTGCTCAGGATGGAGCTGGGAGTCCTCACTGGGGCACTGCCTCGTGCTGATTGACAGGACTGTCAGTAAGGGGACTCGTCACTATAGAGTATTTGAGGTGCAGAGTGAGTTCCAAGCCTCTGCCTAGCTATACTGCACTCTCCCTAGTCGTTAGTTACTTAACAGGCTCATTTTGTGAGTTTTCTCTGTAGAGGAGCAACATACGTTTACGCTGTAGTTCTGTTCTATAAACTGTTTTAATGTGACTCCTGTGCTACTGATTTATCATAAGCAGGTACACTGTTGAAAAACTATTGTAGTAAAAGCTCAAACTAATTAGGATATGGTTCATATGTTGAAAATTTGAATTGTAAAGGTTATATTTTGTATTACTTAGTCATTTCTTCTATACATATGCATATATGGAAAGAAGGCTTCTTTCTGGTCACCTTATCTTCAGGGGAGCCAGTGAGAAGGAGCCACAGTGGAGGACGGGTCCAGAGTAAGGTAGACAGGACAGCTCTCAGCTTGTTGGGAGAACAGCATGGCAGCTAGTGGGGTGGACCACTGGCGGAAGAGCCAGTGCTTTGGAGTTCTTGGAAATTTTTCTTTTTTCTGGTTTTCGAAAATTGCTTGGGGAGAATGTGAAACTTTAAAACAGTTGTTTCTCAGTTGAATTGTTACTGAAGGGTTTTTTGGTAAGATTCTTTGTAATGTTGGAAAGTGAGTGGAATGTTGATGACCCATCCTGAACTTCTGTTGTTGAGGGTTAAGTGCTGACTGTTATTTTCAATCCTTGGGAATTTTAGGTTACCGGATTAGAACTCCAGAGTGACCTTTTGTTTTTCATACTCTTTGTAAGGGTCCAAGCTGAAGGCAGGGTCACAGTTGATAACGTTTCTCTAGTTAATAGAGACCCCCATGTAGTGATTGTGGATATTATGTAGTGATGGATTTTAACTTCTAAGCAGAGATTGTGGGCCCAGTGGCACTAAAGCAAGCTTAAATATTGTACTTTATTGTCACTGTTTTTAAAGTAAAAAGTATACATTCTATTTATTCCATCAGCTGGAAATTATTTTCTTATACAAGTACAGTATAAAACATAAAATAGTTAAAAATAGACCACTTCACTTACATATAAAAGTAATGAGTATGTGAACTTTTATTTCTGCTTTTAAATAATGTAGGACAGTTCTTTATTCCCTTTGAGACAATGTTAATAAAAAATGAAGAGTGTGGTAACACTGGTCTTGTTATAAGATCAGCCAAACATCCTGTACAGTCAAGCGTTGTTTTACTCAAAACATTAATCCAAGTGCCTAACAGTCACCCAATCAGTGAAGCCCTGGCAAGGATACCCTTCATTCTTAGTTTTTCTTCAGTCATTCCTTACTAAAAGCTGTTCATTTCTTCAAAAATTACACTTGCAGAATGATGCGTCTGTTTTCTTCCTAATTCAGGTGGCTAGGTTACAGTGTTGTCACCATCGAAACAAATGAACACGCAGGAGGAGAATCTCTGTGCAGACTGATAGGCCCCTTGTCACAGTGAGCAGTACAGTCATTATTTCTTCAAAAGCATACACCACATGTATTTCTAGGAAACGTTGCAGTGTATAAAGAACAGATTTTAAATTGTGAGAGCTTAGCTTGCAGATACAGTCCAGTGGATGTATGGTGGTCATTCCTTGCTCTCAGCACGCCCAGGGGCAGCTCTTCGCTTCTCTGCCTGAGCACCTGCCTAGAATCTCCATAGCGGTCACTCTGCCTTGCTCACCCTCTAATCCACTGTGCCGTGCTGTAATTTTTGAGTTGCTGTCGAGGAGAAACTGCAGTGTGTAATAGCTGTGTGTTTGCATATATAACTTAGGGGATTAACTAGTGGGAGCATTCTGAGTTATCAGACTTGAGTGCACCTTGGTTTTTCTTCCTCATATGTGTTAGGGGCCCACCGTCCTGAACTCTTGTTAGTGGAGAAGAACTTGGGAGCCTGGTTTAAGTTACTTTCTGAGTTTCTATTTTTTACTGTTAATTAGGGGCGAGATAGTCCTGTTGTCTTTAAAGGGCACCTAGTTTTTGTTTTCATTCTAAACTATGTAGTTCTTGCCAACCTGTATGCAGTAAACATTTCTGAAAAGAAGGTATAAATTTGCTTTCGTAGGATGAGTCATTTCTTAGGTAACAGGAAATGGGCTTTATTATAAAAGGGTGTTTTATTACAGTAAACATTTATTTTCAGTTTATTTCCTATATTCAGATTATTTTTAAATAAGATATAACCAGTCCATTGGGAGGTGTTTGAGAGCTAGAAATCAGAAACAAAACTTGAAGAGTTGACAGTCTGGTATATTTCATCAGGGTCTAGGAAGCAGCACAGTTTCAGCAGAAC